AAGCATAGAAGCAGCTATTTTAAATGTGTTATCATGGGAGAGATTTACCCCCCCACACCTCCCTCCTTCATTTCAAGTGCCATTTTCCTTCAAGCTCATAGCGACGCATCACGACCAACAGAGAACTCTCTGTCATTCAGTACAAGTTAAGAGCAGTACTAGCTGGCCTCTCCAGGCCGCTGTTTCCTGGCTGCTTGTCGGGTTTGATCTGATGGATTTCGTAGTGGCCTTGTAAATGGGAATGAGTCATTCCTGAAGGGCAAAGGTGGCCAGGCCTCATGCTGAAGTGCACATGTTTTCCTGAAAGGAAAACTAACAAAAGCAGGTTTTGCAGCCGCCGAGCAAAGGAAGAAGACATCAACAAATTGACAAAAAGCAGCTTCTGGGATTTCACAGTCCAGCAAGGATTAGGCGTTTTCAGTGCGGAGCTGGTGGTAAGGCAGGAGAACCCCCTGTCACTCAATCTAAAGGGCAGCAGGAGGGGGGTGGGAAGAGCCTCCTCTGAGCAATGCAAATCACATTAGCTAATCACACTTGGCCTTTCACCAATTACAAATGATTTTTTTAAAGACTGATAAGGATTATCCAGAAGACAGGAACTTTGTACAAAATAATCCCAAGTATTAGCCGGGATGTCTAGCTAGGATGGATGAGTGGTAACACCAAGGTCATGCATCTTAATCACAGCCCGCCAAGAGCCCCGTTCAAACCCACAGAATGTCACAACAACTGTGCCAGTAACAATGAAGCAATCTCAAATTAATGTAGTTCAAATGAACCGTGTGTGTTGTTATATAAATTTGAGCTTCTCCAGTATGGATTAAGAAGGGAAATGGTATAGTCATGGGATACACTTTCTTTGAAAGTGGATGGATGTTGTGTAAGTTTGAATGCTGCATTTGCTGAAATAAGATAAAAGTTATATGGAAGTAAACCCAGTAGCTGTAGCCTTTTCATCTACAAAATAATGTATAATTGCTGCTGCGACATCACAGTTTTTACATCTGACAACCTATGCATTCTGCTGATTGGAAAAGTCTCGCAATGTATTGCCTCTGATTATATGGTGAGTTCCATCTACATTGTGATGGGGAAAACAAAAACCATGAGGGGAGGGGGACAACCTTAATAAATGCAAAGATAAATTTACACTACCCCTGAATTTTTAAAGAGTATATGCCCTGATATAAACAAGTCTGACATTCTGTGCATTCTGGATCCACTCTGGAGCAGTTATTTTACATTGAAAAATGTATCACCAAAGGACACAGAATGGCTGAAACACGTTTGGCACCTGAAAGTATTGCTAATTTGTAATCGATTGTTTATGGCAACCAAAAGTGTTGTTTATTTGGCAACAGGCTATTGAATGTTATCATCTGTTATTATGCTAGTCAGAAACTGCTTCTTCTTAAAGTTTGGCAACTAAACATCTTGTTTGGCTGCTTCAGGCTGCTAATTTGCATTCACCTCCATTTTATTATTGTGCCCAGAAGCTGTTTCATTTCATTGCAATTTGCTTGTATATTAGGATATCTTTAGTAAAATTCTCAGGGTTGTTTTGCCCTGTCATCTCATATTGTCTTTTCTTCCTGAGTAGCAAGGAATTACCAGTATTCATTTTGTATGACTCCCATTCTCTCTCACTTTCTCTGTGTGTGCCTTCCATGGATATTCTTGGAAGATCATGGTGACTGATCAGTGCTTCTTTAAATTGTAGTAGCCAGGGAAGATAGTGTTGGGCACTCTAAGATTTAGAAGAAATTTCAGAAGAAAACAGAGCCAGGGACCTAAACCTAAATGTAAAACAAAATTCTGCTACCAGTGCATTACTCATTTATTAATTTTTGATACTCTGGCTGGATTTCATGTACAAAGAGTGTTTAAAGTGTGTTACAGAGAAAATAATCCATATTCAGATATCTTGACAATGTATCTTTAGGACTTGAAGCAAAATGTCTCCATGGAGCATACGATATTATTAGTAAAAGCATTAAGGAGGCATTCATGGTGGGAATTCCATACATGCCAATAAATCAAGGCAATAAGTTGATTTGATTCTATATGCATATGGCAGTCTCACTGGAAAGAAAGAAAGAAAGAGCAAGAATTTGGATAACTATCATGGGAATTAATCACGTTAGCTGCAAAGACATCATTTCCCTGAGTTTTACTGTATTTATTTTATTTTAATAGTTTTTAAAAGGCCAAAGCCTAAACCAGCCAGCTACCCCATGGGGCTCGCTGAAAATCTAATTGCCCCACTTTGCTAGTGCAACTTTGAAGTTAAGCAGCAGTGGGGGCAAGTCACCTCATTTTTTCCAGCTCTGGAATCAGAACGTAAATGACTTTTGGGCACTGCTAGGAAAGTGGCACGTTAGCCAGTAGGAACAGTTTATTTTATTAGCCCCAAATAGATTTATTTATTGCACTGCAAATATTGCTAGATATTTCTCTAGGCTGGAAGTCTGATGTCGCTAGAATTTACACGCGTACATGCCAAAGCATACTTACTCTTAAGTATTTAAGATTGTGTTGTATTGTAAGATTATTTGTAAGATGGCACAATTGGCAGTGGCAACCACAAATATATTCTATGTTTAACAATAATTTATTCTTTTGTTCATTATGCTGTTATAAATGTGCATTTTATATTTTACTTCCTTTAATAGTGTTTTCTTTTGAAATGTATATTATTATTTATTGTTAACTTTTAAATGTGCATTCTGTAGTTGATGTCCTTTGTAATGTTTAATTTTGAGATTTTTAAGATAAGATCTTAGCTTCCTGATAATTATGTTGCTTTGAAGGTATACTTTATATTTGACTTTCTTCAGTAATGTTTTGTTTTGGATTGTTTCTTAATGTGTTGTAAACAGCTTTGAGATTTTTTTTCTTAAAAATATAAAGCAGCAGAGAAATGAAAATGGATAATAATAATAATAATAATAATGTCTTTTTGCCTTGATAAAATTACTGGATCAAAATGTTAATATGGCCACCAAGTTGCATGCCATAATAACCAAACAATTAGGAATCCAAGTCTCCAAAAATCAAGTGCTAGCCTCTGATCATAGGATATATGACTCTCTGGTTGAGGCACCATAGCTGAAATGTGACTCATAGGCAATGCTTGCATTTCACAGTAAGGTTCCTTTCAACACTGCCCATTCCCAATAAGACACAATGAGCCCGTAATCTTGACTTAGGCTGATGGGCTAACAGAAACCAAGGGTTCAATGCATCCCATGCTGCTGTGCCACTCATGTAACAGACTTGCACAATGTGATGTCCCCCTCCTCTCTGATCCACATCTTTTAAATCTGCTCCAGAGTGTTGGGGCACCCTCTGGAGCAGATGCGGAGGGGAGCATGGGAAAAGAAAGTCAGGGGAAGTCCCCTTGTGTGAACATAACTTCTCTTGTGCAACATTGGACACAACCTATATTGTTTGTTGATTTATTTATTAGACACAGTTACACCCCTCCTTTCCTCAACTTCAAGATCCCGGACAGGCCATCACGACCATGAAGATTGTAAGACATTTCAATAGTCTCTGTAAAAAAGATGGTTTCAGATGCTACACTGCCACATGAACACTGCTGGGAGGTATGGTAATTTGTCTGAACTAACCCAGGGTTTAAATTTCCTCCTCTCTTCTACGGATACTCATCTTGATTCCTTTATTTTTATTGCAGTCCGCTCACTCAGTTCTTGGATAACTATAAGCATATTGAAGCCTGGCAGTGGGATGATGGGTTTGTTTTGAGCAACCTGTAGTTGTAAAAGTGAAATAAAAGAATGGGTATTGTCTGAATAGGAGGCGTGCAGAGATGAATTATGAAGGGTGACTTGCAAGACCTTGCTTTATTTTACAGGTTTCCTCTACAGTCCCTGCCCTTTTTTTATTGTTGACAATGCCCTGGAGCTGCCCACTTGAATGGCTAATATTATACTGTTATTATTATGTCACATCATAAACAGTCAATAAAAGCCAAGCAGTTCTCAGCACACACCATGGGGCACATTGCCTGACATCCTTTCCTTTGCAGTAAGAGATGAAGGTGCAGAAAGAAGAAGAGCACTTCATTCTTTCATTTTGTGCCACATGAATGACAGTTGTGGTTTGGTGGTTAGCTATGTTCCAGTCATATTGCTTTCTTCTAGCAACTGAATGAGCCAGAGCAGTAGAGTGTTAAAAGTGTCCGACTAGGATCTTGAAGACCAGGCTCCACATCTCCACTTAGCCATGGAGCCCACTGGCTGAACTGGGACCAGCCACTAAGCTACTCACAGGGTTGTTGTGAGGATGAAATGGGAGAGGGGGAGAAGTGTGTACACCACATTGAGCTCCTTGGAAGAAAGATAGGATATACAAGCAATAATAAACAAACAGATAAACTGTAGAGAGCCCTAATGAAAAGAAGCTAGGGCTTCTTTGCCCATCGAAGTCCATTTCCGTGGGCTTGCTCCCAGTGTAACCAACACTGGGCAATAGACTACAGTGGTACCTCGGGTTAAGAACTTAATTCATCCTGGAGATCCGTTCTTAACCTGAAACTGTTCTTAACCTGAGGTACCACTTTAGCTAATGAGGCCTTCCGCTGCTGCCGTGCCGCCAACGCACGATTTCTGTTCTCATTCTGATGCAAAGTTCTTAACCTGAGGTACTATTTCTGGGTTAGCGGAGTCTGTAACTTGAAGCATCTGTAACCTGGGAAACCCAGCCAGATGGGTGGGGTATAAATAAATTATTATTATTATTATTATTATTATTATTATTATTATTATTATATCATCCAGTGTAAGGAACTAAACTTCAACTAAATCCATTTAATTTCAAATTGGAGGCACAGAATCTGGTTATTAATTAGAACCAATAGAAAACATTGCAGGATTCTGTACTTTGTGCCTTTCCTTTTATTCTGTTGTCTTGTCTTAAGGATTAGAATCTTGGAAATGTAGAGTTGGAAGGGACCACAAGGGCCATCTAGTCCAACCTCCTGTCCTGCAGGAATCTATTGTCCAACCCACAACCCTGGGATTAAGAGTTTCGTGCTCTACCAACTGAGCTATCCCAGGCTCACCTTCTTTTGTTTTCCTGCAACCAACCTCCACTTTTTAAGGTTGGAAATTTTATTTTGGATTTTGCCCACCTCTCAATTTTCCTACATAGTTCTCAAATTTTAAAAAGTGCCAAGATGTGTTTCTCGGGGGACAGGGTAGGATTTGAGGGTGAAATGTGTTTGGGAAATGGGTACATTAAGATATAATATATATTTAAATATTCATTTTGTGATAAAATATGCATTTCAATACAGATTTTCAAACTCAGATTTTAAAAAAGAAAAATGCCAAGTAATGTGGAAACAGAATGGAACAGGCTCGTGAATGAACACAGGGAAACTTCACATTGGCTGGTAATAGGCTGATCATCCCATTCTGAGGTAGGCACTTGTTTTTTACTTCAACCTTTTCCCCAGCCATTGTTTGAAGTGTATGGTTTTCTTAGACATGAGAATCTCTTCCTATCTTAACCAAGCCAAATAACATTAGAAAGTTATTAACATTTCTCTCTCTCTCTCTCTCTCTCTCTCTCTCTCTCTCTCTCAAATATTATATGAGCAGTCCAAAGTAGTGGATTTTCCTATATGGGGCATTGTAGCACCTTTATTTGGAGACAATAAAATCTACATCAAATCTAGTCTCAGTACATTAAGTAGCAATAATAATAATAAATATACAGGTTTAGAGCTCTGCTTGATGACCTGGACCAGAACTGACTTTGACCTGAAAGAGTGATGTCTGTGAGCGTGCTTTCCATATCTGCCTTTCATGAGGTGCTTCTGAAAAACAAAAGGTACTTTCACACCCGGCCAACACAGGCTTATTTGAAGCTCATTTCATGCTTTATTTGCCAATCCCAACATACTCAAATCGCAAGTTTTGAATTGGATGATAGAATTAAGGAGGGAAAGATTGCAAACATTTGTATCTTTATACAAGTCTTTCTGTGTTTACCAGCTTGTTGCCATTTTATCGTGTGGTTTCTGTGCAGAGTAGCAGGCAGAGGTGCCAAGCTGTGAGAATCTGGAATTTTGGCAGCCTTGCTCTTAGAGGTATGCAACCATTCTTGACTTGTCCCAGATTTTATCAATCAGTATAACAAGGATGGCTATCACAGCTCTGCGTAAGTAGGTGATGTTCTGTTTATGTTCATGCTGAAGACCTCTCCATGTGTAAATCAGAGCCTTGTAGAAATTTTGATCACCAGGTTGCTCAAGAAAGATAAACACACACACACACACACACGTTTATACATTATATAAAAGTGTGTTGAGAAACACTCCATTACTTTGCAACAGATTAGTTTTTTTTAATATATATATTAAATATTAAACAATATATATATATACTCAGAGTAGACCTATCACAATTAATGGACCTAACTTAGTCATAGTCTCAATTCCACCCCATTATTACAATTTGCATAGTTTGGAATTTAGTGCTACTTCTAGAAAAACCTGCAATGTGGTTTTATTAAGCTTATTGATTCTGTATACTTGGAAACAGCGGCTCATGCAATCTGATCTTGCTTACCTAGAAGTAAGTCATACAAAATTTAATGAGACACGCTGCCTAGAAAATGTGCTTAAAATTACACCCCGTTGCTTAAAGCAGAACACTTCTTATCCAGAAAGTGTTGGGATTCTACATATTGAGCTTCTAGTTTCAAAACGGTTGTACTTAATGGATTCAACATTGATTCAAAAGCAAGCACATGAAATTCAAAAACCCACCTTCAACCTACTCTCCAACAACTTTATTAAAACAGCAGCGTCGAGTGCCCCAGGCCCTACTGTTTGCCGGTTTGAATTAATGCTCAGAAAATGCCATATAATGCCTTACATGCTTTCTGTTTCATAGCCATAAGGAAGGGGGAACCCAAACCCAGCAAAAGACCAAATCCGTCTTTTCTTTTTGCTTATGGACTATAAAATTTCCTGTTGTAGAACTGAAGGTAATTTTTATGAAATGTTATGAAGTGGAGTGCAAGCTTTGCTTGAAGAAATAAGCTTCGAAAATTACTATTTTTATTGGCTGCCCAGAAGCTCTGATTGATTACCATTAGGAACGTTATTTTAGATTCTAGCTATTGCTGGGGTGGAAATAAGGGGAGTCTGGGCGGACTCTGGCCTGCATACTTGTTTTAAAGTATGGACCCAGCCTACCTAGTTATCCTTATCTTGGGGTCTCAACCTTTTGTCTGAGAATGTAACAGAGAACAATATAAATATTTAGAAAATTGGAGTTTTATTCAATGCTGCCTGCACAGAGTTCCCCTTGTGCAATGGGACTTCCAATTACTCTCCTGTCCACATGTGCTCTCAGAATATGCTCGGGGGGGGGGGCTCCAATCCCCTGGAGCAGATTTTTAGGGGTGTGGAGGGACTGCAGTGGAGAGGAGGGGAAAATTCCATTACTCAAGTATTCTGTCCATTTTAAACTTTAAACTAGACACTGGAGCATTAAAAAATGTGATTCCTGAAAGTGTGTTAGCTGGGTTACAAAGGAAATCAAGCTCCAGGGACAGTAGGAAAGTGAAATTGAGAGCATATGTAGTAGCAACTGTGGGAACTCACAAACTGGAAAGACAATGTTACTTTTGTTTGCTATTGTATCTGCTGATGAACCACTTATATTAGGGCTTAATATGAAGCACTGGGTTTATTCAAAAGTATGTACTCTTGAAAGAGCAACAGGTGGCAACATAAAGGATCAGTAAACTAAATACTGCCCACCTAGCAGTTCGAAAGCACCCTTAAGTGCAAGTAGATAAATAGGTACCGCTTTATAGCGGGAAGGTAAAAGGCATTTCCGTGCGCTGCGCTGGTGCTGGCTCGCCAGAGCAGCTTCGTCACGCTGGCCACGTGACCCGGAAGTGTCTCCGGACAGCGCTGGCCCTGGCCTCTTAAGTGAGATGGGTGCACAACCCTAGAGTCGGACACGACTGGCCCGTACGGGCAGGGGTACCTTTCCTTTACCTTTAAACTAAATACAGAGTACAATATCGAATTCACTACACTACATAGACTAATCATCCATGCTCCCCTATAAATGTTCCTCTAGCATTGTATGTGAGGGGGGACACCTTAAAAGTTAGGTAGATAAACTGGTGGACTTAGAAATTATAGAGAAGGTTGAAGAGCCTATTGAATGGTTAATCCAGTAGTCATAGAAGAAAAATAGGATGACTCTCTTTATCTTTGTCTTAGACCCCAAACAGTTAAAGACTTATGTAAAGAAAGCATTTTCCAATTCCCACTAGGGAAGGAAACTTGAGTGAGCTGGCAGAGGCAAAATATTTCACCACTCTGAATGCCTCATGTGGATTTTGGCAGGTGCCTCTCACAAAAAGCAGTGCCCAATTATGCACTTTTAACACACCAGTTGGGAGGTACTGTTTTTTGAGATTACCATGTGGTTTGAAGTCATCTTTCAAAGCTTTCTGTAGGAAAGTGTAGCACATTTTTGAGGGCACAGATGGAACAAAGGCGTATATTGAGAATATCCTGGTTTGGGGTAGGAGGCTAGAAGTACATAATAAGAGACTGCTAATAGTGCTGGGAAGGACTTGAGCAGCAGGCCTAAAATTAAACAAGCAGAAATGCAAATTCCACATGCAAGACATAACATAATTAGGAGAAAGGCTAACAGCCTAAGGAGTTCAAGTAGATCATTCAAGATTGCAGGCCACTACAAACATGCCAGCACCCACAGAGAAAAGGCGGGTGTGGGGCAGTCAACGTTTCTGAGATAAATTTTATGGGGAGATTTTTACCTAACTTAACTGAATGCACCACTTATCTATGGTTACTGGTGATGAAAACCTCACAATGGGCCTGGGGGGGGGGGTGGAATTATCACCAGAGTTTGAGCAGTTATAAAAGTTGATACATAAGACTCCAGTACTAAGTTATTATGACAGCTCACGTTAAATGAAATGTGTTAAAAGACTGCATTGGAGCAGTTCTTCTGCAGAAATATGGTGAATGTTAGGTTGTGGGTGAACATATCAGACAACGCAGCGATTCTTCAAACAGCTCTTGTTTATTCACAGGCCAGGACAGAACAGAGCTGAAGGGTTCAGTCAGCCTGCTTATATAGAGCTCCAGTACAACGTTACTGTAACAACTTTCTAAAACTATGCAATCACTGAACGTCACTTTCGATCCCTTATTTGCATAACTATCTACAGTATCCCCCTGCTGGCCCAGGGTGAGAACTTCAGTACATAACAGTGAATATTGGAGGCCTGCAGCTTATGTATCTCAAACTTTAAAGTAGGCAGAATGTAATTATGCCCAGAAAAAGAGGTGTTAGCCCTGGTGTCTGGATGCAAGAGGTTATATATTTTTATTTATGATAGACAAGCTGAGACTGAAACAGATCACAAGAGTCTGATCTCCATTGCAAAGAAGCATTTATCTGACACTCTACCAGGGGGCTTTTCTTTCAGTTACAAATATGTGATCTGAACCTTCAATGCAAGCCTGTTAAAGACCTTGTTGTGGCTGATACTCCACCTAGGGCAAATGATGTAACTGTTAGCAGACAAAATGTAGTAAATAACATGATTCTCATAATTTGATCAGAAAACTGTACCCAGTCTTGGATGCAATGTGGACTATGTTGGACTGCTGCTCACACAGTACTGGATACAAACCACATTTATTAATTTTAAGGAAGACAAATAAAACCATTTGTGTGTGCATGTCTTCTGACTTGCTGGAAAAACCTAAGGTTTTTTTCGTGGGGGGGGGTGTATGGTAGTGGTGATGCTGGAAGAGGAAAATAAAAGAAACTAGTTAGGGTATTTTGTTGACAATGTGATTATTACAGCTTGAGTAATAAAAAACATGCAGTCTGAAACTGAAATGGTTTAAACTGTGAACAGAAAAATCTGCTGGAAATAAAGCAAGGGACACAGCAAAAGGGAATTTCTCCTAAATCTAATTTCTTCAGCATTAGTACAGTCCCCGCCCCCACCCCAAACACAGACATGTGGTTTGAAACATGAC